GTTCAAAACATTTGCTGTCGGATAAAGCCATCAAAACAATGGCATTCTCTCTCTCTGTTTTTTTTTATTAAAGAGAAAATGCGATACATGTAACAATGAATACAGCCTGAATTACAAAAGTGTACCATACACACAGACTTCACTATTTATTCATTTCTCTATTTGAGATAATTCGATGCATTGACTGAAAATAGAGATAAAAGTTGATATATACCACCGTTTTTTTCTCTCTCAACTTCTATTCTAACAAAAGCAAACAGTTCGCCATGTAACAATGACTTGTTCAAATGCAGTTTCGTATACCGAAAAATGTTCCCGTTTAAATGCGATTTTCACCTTTGTTTTGTGTGCGATTTTATGTTTATATTTGTGTACGTGTGAGCATATGTATGTGCTTCACCGTTAAATACACAAAATAAGCACCAATAGATTTGATACCAGTGATGTGGATTTAGTTTGCCAATTTCACATGGATTCAATGGTGAGAATGAAGTGTTTTGTCGTTTTGATGCAAGCAAGCATTGTACGTGTTGTTTGCGGCTTTTGCTTAAGGCTCATTAGCTCTGTGAGAATGTTTCACATGGGATAGATTGATGGGTGGATGGTTGGTGAGTGTATATATAAAATGGCTTGTAGGTGTGCTTGTACGAGCGCACAACCACCTTTAGCCAAAAGTGTATCGATTGAATATTCAAATTAGTGAACAACTTTAAATTCATTTAAATCGTAGCACCAAAAAAATAGGACATATTCAGGAAGCAGCAGCAGCATCATCAGCAGCCAAAATCCATTTAAACGAAAACAGAAAATACCAAATATTACTTTTGCCGATGGTAAGTCTGCTTCTCTGATGTTGTTTGCAAAATAAAATAGAATCAAATGTTTGTGATTGCGTTTGCTTCAGTGGCGTCGGTTTGTTGAATATTCAGTTTGTGCCCGCCGCAGCACAAAACATCACTTCTCCTATCTCTTCGTCGATCATTCTCTATTGTCCCGTGTTGCCCGACTTACTTGTGCAATATTTCTTTTTTTGTGTGTGAGAAAGCGAAGAAGCAAAATTCTTGTTGCGGTATTTCGACACAGAAAATTGAATGGAAACGAAGTGCATCGAAATTTTCAAACCAAAGCATTCACCGTACTCTTATTTTTGTGTCTCCGATTTCGCTTGCCATAAATTCGGTACATGGGGCAATTGTAAAATTGTGTACGTGCACATGGAAGTTCATCGTCACTTCAACAAACATTGACTTTTTATTCGAATAGTTTGAAAATATAATTTTTATCCTGTGCTGCTCCGAGTGACGAGACTTGATTTCGGCATTAAGCGTGTGTTGAGTGGGTGCATTTTCGCAGCAAACCATTCATCAGCACAAACGCAAATGGTTTCGCTGTGGAATTGTTGACGTGATGAAAAATAAGTTTGACGAAGAAATTGTATTCTCTCTTTTTTTAACATCCGGCATGTGTGTGTGTCTGTGTGCGTGTGGTTTTGTGTGCATGTGAAAGTATGAATAATTAAGATTGAGTTGTTTTGTGGTTCGTTCGGCTTTGGCTTGTCTATTTGGGTGAAAAGTTGCTATTTGCTTAATACGCTTCCATTTGCGTCTTATATATGTATACATACATTTAGCAGCAGCTAGCTACCACTTTAGGAATCATGCAAATGACAGTCAAACCAATGATCAACACAACATACACTTAATCCACGTATGTACATAAAATGGCAATAATAATAACAATAGTGTACTATATTTTCGAGGTTGGATTTCGTTATTTTGGCCGAAATAATAATAATAACAATACAATGAAACGAATGCTTTTAATGATAATGACATTAAATTTTACATTTTGGTCGGTGCCCAAAAATTATGCCACTTCGTCGTCGCCGTCGTCGTCGTCACTTGCATATGCAATGAAATTCACAGTAATGTTGTGCCCTTTCGTTCTCTGTCTCTGTCGACACGGAAACTTGTTTATGCTTCAGTTATGTAAGGCAACAGAATAGAAGCAAACATATCGAGCATACCGATTCATGAGCCATGAGCCATGACCATGCAATTCATTATTGTGTTTCAATGTTAAAGTTATTGCCACCGCATTGTACTCCATTTTGATGTATATTGCATTCGTATTTAGGACGAATTGCAGAAACAAAAACGCAAAATATATGTGAGCTCTATATCAAGTACAAGTACAAGCTTATAATTGAGATTCAGTATTGTGGTGCTTGCTGTGCATATAATTCGTGCAAAATGGCTTATAATTTGCAAATATGCAATCGAACACATATGGCAAACATAGTGGACGAACCACTTCAAAATCCATAATGAAAATTTTGTTTTGATGATATTTTCATTCAATTAAAACTATAAAATTTATAATAAAACCTATTAATAAAACATCATTTAAATATGTGAGCATTTGCCGATTAAAGTTGACTATTCGATGGACAAACGTAACAAATGCCATTGCATAATGGCATTTAATATTCGAATAATACATGCCTCAAAATGTCTTAAAAATTATGCAATGCACTCAAGATGGAGAGGCACGTACAGCAATTCTGAATTTGTTTGTCGCATCGAATGGAATAAATGTTTCTCATTTTATTTTCATGATGGATATATCACAATAAAAATGTGTATAAAAGGCTTTGGATCGATTTTGTGCTTTTAATTTATCGTTTCGATTTGAATCGAATTCATTTAGTCGCTAAAAATCCATTTTTGAAATGCTCACATTAGCAAAGTGAATCAGCGTATAAAATTTATATTAAATTATTTCCCCATTTCAAATACACTTGATAGATATCAATACAAATGATATGTTGGTGACGACAGCGGCAAAATGGAAATAAATTGCAAATCATGGTTTCAAGTGTAGATTTTCTATTGTCTTTCGCTGATGGGTGGAAAACAACGTACATCCATAGAAAAGTACCCAAATTCAAATATCAAAAGCGCCCGGCTTAGCCGAAAAATATAAATCATAAATCTGAAATTTCATTCAATTAAATTGTGCTTGTTGCCATCATTGTGCTTATTCTTGTTCGTCTTCAATTCGGCAACTTGGTTAAAACACATAATCAAAAAAAAGAAGAAGAAACATTTATTATTTTAGCGTGCTAAATGATAAAATGCCTTCACAACTGTTGTTAAATATTAATTTGCCAATAAAGTTGCCAGAAAATGATAATTTCCAACTTAAAGCTAATGTTGCTGGGATTTGGTTGCAAACGAACGTTGACGCTATGCCAAACCATTCACATTCTCTCACATCTATGTGAGCCCCTTTAGAAGCTAACGAATACTCCACCTCTCTCACACTCACTCCAATGTCAGTAAAGTCTCTTAAAACATTTTTTGGATAGAACAAAATGCAAAAGAGTGGCTAAATATCGCATTTTGTTTTAATGCCACTTGCCAGAGAAAGAAAAATGGTGAATGCGTATTTTGCGCTTAAAAATGTGCTTATGATTAAGCAGAAAAATTCGAGCGAACATTTCATTTTTACCATTAGAAAATTCAATGTTTAAATGTAGTCAGCCAGTGAACACACAGTGGAAGTTTTGTATTTTAGCGCCTTTGTGAATGTGATTTACTTTTGTTCGGTCGCATTAATTTCGGAAAGTTATGGGAAAATCAAGCCAGATGAAAGGAATAAGAGGGAAAGAGAAAGTTAAACATGCAAGGAATGAAAGAAATTTTAGCCCGAAAAATGTGAAAGAAAAAACGACGGCTATCATCTTCGTTGACATGAGAAACCAAAAATCTACCACACAAATATATCGTTAATATAATCGCCGAAACTGGTTGGGAAATATAAAATGCTGTGCCCGATGAGAAATGAAAGCGAGCAAATGAATGAGTGTAAAGCCACAATAATAGCCATAGTGCTGTTGCGGACACAATGAAACCAACTCATATTTCGCCGTTAAGAGAATGACACTCATTCATTCATTCGCTCTTGGTCCTCCTCCTTCTTCATTGTCGAAACCATTTTACGGCACGATTTCTAACTAACGACAATGCCAGACGATTTAATTCATGAATCCCCGACATTGTGCTTTAAACTCACCCACACTTTATGTGCGTCAAGTAGTTAAATGATATTATATAATGGTTTTCATAAATGAATGAATGTAATTCACTAAATAACAATAAGAACAACGACATCGACACAAACAACATCAACAACAACAGTGAAAAGTACAACAACAATATAACACAGCTTATTTTATCTAGTGTAAATGAAAATTTTTGGCTATTAAGATCAAAATGAATAATATATTAGTAATCACAAGAATGCAACAACATATTCACTCAAATACAATTGAATTACATCGTCTAAACTGTAATTCCAAATGGTATACAGCAATCGGGCGATGTGTATACCATTCTGAAAATTACAACAAAGACAATAGACACATTGACATATTGAGTGGCATTCTTTCTTCTTCGATTTTTTTTTTAATTTCTGTGTTTCTGTGACACTGACCAGTTCAACGCAAATGACTACGATAAAAACAAAATCACATCAACAACGACAATTGAAGTACAAGAAAAACTGTGTGAGGAGAGTAGAGCTTTTTGGAGATTGGCCAACAAAACACAAAACAAAAACAAGTTAAATTGAATGAATTTTATTAATAAATGAAATGAATTCGATCGACGAATTCAGATGAAGAAACGCAAAATTCATTGTTACATTGGCTCCAAAAAGCTCTTCGACCATCGAAATTTGAATTTGAATTTGATACACTGACACACTGCATTTAGGCAAACACAAAAGCACATTTCGCAAAAATAACAACCAGACTCAGTCAAAAAGATCGTGCTCGACATTTTCACATTCACGCCTCACAATTCTTTAACAATACACATTCATCCTCTAAAAACATTTAAAATTAAATAGCATATTTTTCGGTCGAACGACAGGGTATAATATAATAACAACAATCACACATTAACAATAAAGAAAAGAAGAAAAAATGGACTTACTTTTTGATACTGTTTTAATTGGCGGAAGGAAGCAGCCACTGGCATGCGATGCTACTGCCGTTGTTTGACAGCCATTCAAGCTACTCGATCGTTGGTGGCGATGGTGATACGCCGACCCTCGTGCCCATCATGTGCTCCAGTTGGTTGTGTTTCACTTAAAAACGTTTCGTTCTTCTCTTTTTTTTTATGCACTCAGTTCTTTCTTTTCGCACTCAGTATTGTTATTGTCTTTTCGTCGAGGGAGTGTGAAAAACACTTGAAAAAAATTATACCATTCAATATCACAACAAAATATCGAAACACAAAAAAAGACTAAATGCTTTGCCGATTTGACAACGGACAGGATTGTGTTCCGTTTGACGATAAAGCACGAGCCGATTTTATGTTTTATAAATTTGTTTTAACCGAAAATCGTGTAAAATAGTCGTTCAATGCGGAAAAAAGCCACTGACATTCAATCATTATCGTCAAAATCATGAGTCACATACACGCGCACAATATTCCGTTCATTCGAAAATGTTCAATCGTTTGACGTTTCAGACTCAATCGACAGTAGGTAAAAGAAACAAAAGTAATTTTTGATGTTTTGATGGTGTAATAATGTGTATGCAAATTTCCTTTGTTGTCAGTAAATATTTTATTATAACGCGTTTTTTGTTCTTCCTTTTCTGGTATATTGTGTGATGTTGGTTTGTTTGTGATTTTCTTGTTTCTGTCCCTTTTTTCTTTTTAGTTTGTTTCGTGTTTATGCGTGCGACAACTTTTGGCTGCTGCCTTTTTTTCGGTAATCTTCTTTTGAATCGGTCGCAATGTTTGTGTATTGCTTGACTCTCTTGCTACCCAGTGCTCAATATCCACACCAAACATAGAAATGAAACCGAGCAGAAATTTTCACTCGACGTGCCGCAAACCAAATTTATTTTCGGTACAATATTTGTTGTCGGGTGTGCGCTGAAGATTGTAGCAAAGATTTACACCATTCAAATCATTCTCATTGTCGTGTACAATAAATGTAGCATCAGTGTAATGACAACAATACACACCAAGTTTATAAATTGTGATGCGGGCGCGCACCCTCGCATTTGCATTAGATGATGCGAAGGCCAGCGGTAAAAAAAGTCAAATCACGTCGACACTTTGTTATTATCATTCGTAATAGCCTTTGTAATCTAAGAGGAGAGTTCAAGTTTCTTAGCCAATGTTCAAGTAATTTATTCGGAATAATGTGCAAATTTAAACACTCGCACATGCAATATCACTTTAAGCTTGTAAAAAAAGTTTCTTTTTTCCTTCCTCTTTAATGTTTTCGCGTTGCTTTTAAGCTGATATTCATTCAATGACTTTTCGATGGTTAAACAAAAATCATTGAGAGGAAATGTGTACGCATTTAAATGAATTTAAACGATAATGAAACCTTGTGGCTTCACTTTAATACGAGCAATAAGTGAATTAACCGGTGTTGTTCGGCATCACCTTCTCCCGTCGAATGAAGTGGCTATTTTGTGCACGGAAAATAATGAAGAACACAATTAAGAACAGGGATTTAAAATAATGAACAACAACGGAATCCTTTTCGTCTCTCGAAAATGTTAATTGTACTAATTTATTTTATTTTTTTTTTTCATAAATGTTTAATCGTTAATTCGACGTTCGCTCGTAACGACCACATCGTTCATTGTGTACCATTGTTCCATTGAATTCATAATGATCGTGTTCATTTTGAGTCACGATAACCACACATCAGCCAACGTTTAACCGCAATGTATGACGACAAACTTTAATCGATTGACACGTTGTTTTTGTTTTCTTTCTTGGCTTGTCTCTATGATATATTTTTTGTTGCACCAAATGCACTCTTTTTCTATCTAAAACGTAATCTCGTTAGTTTTCATTGTGATAATTTAATTGCATGTTTTTAGTTTTGTATGTTTGTTTATCATTTTTCTACTCAATTTGATTAAAATCTCGAAAATGTAGTCGTTATTTTTGTTATAATTATCTTTTTTACTGTCTTTTTCTCTCTTTTATGCTTGTTTCAGATACACTCACACTCGACTGTTGTCTCTTGAGATATGACAGTGTTTGTTCTGCGGTAACTTGTATTCTATAAACCGTCCAATACACTCAATTTGCATAGACACGATTCATTTAGCGTTTTTTTTAGCGTTGCTTTTATTCACCCACTCACAATTTAAAATGAAAACACACATTCACTATGTCCTTTTTATTTCAGTTGATTTTATTGTGCTAATCACTGGTGTTTCTTTTTTTGATACTCGTTTTTAATATTCTCTCGTTGTGTTTGTTTGCTCAACAATTTTGCAAATTATTCAATCATTTATTTTATCACACAGTTTTCTGTCACTCAATTTGAATTGGCTCACCTGTCACCATTTGGTTTTTTTTATTAGCTGTTTGCTATGTGCATTTAATAAGCAAATATTTGCGTTGATTTATTTTAGCGTACCATGTCCTTTAGGCAGGTCGTTTTGCTGTTTTTTTTTTCTCTTTTTTTGCTCGTTTGCTCTATTAAAATCTGCTTTTCAATGGCAATGAAACTATGAATGGCAGTGCTTTTTATTAATGGCTACTAAAAAAACTGATCAAATAAGTTGTGATCGTTAAGGAAAATTGAGTATTTTTCCGAGGATTATTTATCGATAGTGGGATTACATGGAAAATGTAAACATAACCACTTAACGGGTTACATTTATTGATGCATAATTTTCCGAATTGGTTTTCATTGCACTTAATAGATTCATTATTACTTGCTGTCTCATTACTGCTACTTTATACGCGTGATAATATTGCAGTTGAAGCAATTAAAATTACTATATATGTACGTTGTGTGTTCTTTTTTCATCAATTTAGCTAGTTAGTTTGATTTTATTATAGTGAATATATGGCATTTTACAGTTTAAGCATTTTCAGTTTGGTTATCGTTATTTATTATTCGAAGTTTGATGTCGAATAAATTTACGGCAGCGATCGTTTACTTTTTACGTTTGGTTTTTTTTTTACTTATTTCCGCAGTTGATTTCACTCAAGTCTCCGTAGTTTTTGAGCTTAAGTCAGTAAGTTTGCATTTGAAGTTTTTCCTCCTACACTTTTTTTTGTCAAGTGGAGTTTTTCAATAGTTAAAACTACGTGCTTGTTTTGTGTCGCTGCTCAATGAAATGAATGAAGAGGATACACAAAAAAACAACCAGTTAAGATCTCTCGATGCTCGTTGCGTTTTTTCCTGTATATGAGTACGGTTTGGGAAGGGAAAAAAAAGAATTTTTGTTATTTTCAGCGTTTTTTCTTGTCTTTTGCTCACAGTTTGTTGTCACACTGAAATTGCTATTTTATCTGCTTCAATTTAAAGCGGATTTTGGTTGTTACACTACAACGAAATCTACTTTGTCGCGTACTAGAACTTAAGTGAAGGATTCCTTTCGCTTTTGGCTGAAATCTTCTTTTTTTCTGGTACTTGTGTGTATATGTGTGTTTTTTCTTTCGTTAAATTTAAATTCGTTTTTCGTATGCAACGTTTTGTGATAATGCGCCAAAAAAGGCGGCCGAACGGAGAGAGGGGGGCTAAAAAAAGTTACGTCGAGTCGACTTGAATGAATGGACAGACAAAAAAGAGCAGACACAACGGAAAATACTTTTGCATTAATGAAATTATATGTTCGTCTTTTTTCCGCCATTGCTGCTGGTGCTGTTTTTGTCCAAGTGCATTCTCGCTATCATTGTGATGCGCGTGTGTGTGTGTTTGTTTTTGCTCAATCTTTTTTTTTGTTATGATTTTATCGTCGTTGCAAAAATTTTTGTGTCTCATCTGTTTGTGAAACAACAAAGTACAACAGTCACACAATTCAGTTATGTTCTAAATTTACTTTATCGAATTGTTGTTAAGGGGTTGTTGTAAGAATATTTCGGATGTTTTGTGTTGCGATGCATTTATATATTTTACGTTGTTTTAAAAAAGTGACTCAGTTTAACCGCTCCTTTGCAATGCATTTAGCGTGCGTTGCAATCGTCTAGTGGCCGTATCTCTTCTTTTTTTTTGCTCTCCATATATATGTGAGATTTAATGCAGAAAATATTTTTGGTACGATTCGCACTTAGTTCGGTATTTTTTCTGTTGTTCGCTTAATGGCCTTCGCTTGAAATGTTTTTTCGCTCATTCTCTTGCCACTCTCATGATTTTTTAGTGTGTGTTTTTTTCAGTTAGTGCAAAGCACATGAGAGAAATTGGCACGCGCTTTTCTATTGTGTTTTACCATTGATTTCGATATATTTTTTTCATTTATTTTTCTTCCCTTGATTCTTTTCGCATAAATAAATTCTACCAACTCTTATCTTGCCAATACTTTTTTTTTCGTCTGTTACTATTCCACTCATGACAAAAACATTTTTTGGTGAGTTTTTGTGTGGTTCGTATGAAATACTAAGAGTGTCCAACTCCACCCGAACTCGATATGCATTATAAATATTTTCCCATTTCGTGTTGGACGTACTTTGCTCTCCTGTGAATAGGCGCCTGGACATAATTTGAATATTAACATATAAAATGGAATACATACTATATACATTTTTCCTTCTCTATCGCTCTTGCTCTTTCACTCTTTGGCTTATATCATTTTCCATTCGTATGGATTTTAGTTTTGATATTACTATATTGAGGATCAGCTCACACGTATTTTTTTTTTTTTTGTGTTTAGTGTGTAATGTGCATATGTGAGTCATTATCAGGTCGTTATGTTATGCTATTTGATGTTAGAGGTGTGTATGCGACCTGACAAATGACGGCCAACATAAAATATGAAACATGACGGACAAGAGTCGAAACAACATTTACTATGATATATATATCCACATATACGTAACATACTAAATGCTAATCCATTGAGCGGAAAAAAGTGGGAGGAAAACGGGAAAATATGAACGAACCATAAAAAAATATCATATTAATACAACACAAGATCTGGTATTCTATTTCGCCATATTTTCATTGCCTACTGTCGAATATTCATATCTATACGAATAAAAACCGAAAAAAGACTACATGTTTTACATTTCTCGGTCGAAATTGGATTTGGAATGAAACAAACGATAGCTCGTCGAAATAAAATCAATTGCATACAAAATTCTGAATTTGACATAATGCGCTTTTGTGTTCATTCAATTAAAATAACAAAATTCAAAGAATATCGGATTTAAATAAATCACATATTGAAAGATATTCCGTCTGCATTGGATAAACAATCAACTTTATATATTTGTATATTCAATGCAATTGCGTGTTTCATTCGAAAAAAAAATAAACATATGAAATAAAAAAATTACGTGTTTAAACAGAAACAAAAAAAAAACAGGCCGAAAAATCCAATGAATACACATCATTCGTATGTCAATTAAATTTACAATTGTATGTTTCAATTTGCAAAGTCCTTGTTTATCGGCTTCAATATCTTCGGAATGAGGCCAATATTGAAAAAAAAACTTTTTTTCGAAAAAATAGGGATATCATTAAATTTTCACATATCCGACATTTTCATCACTTTAACGAGTTATAAATATGTTGTTTTTACGCTGAATTTGTGGTAAACACGCATAAAATAGTGTAAGGTAACATTCAGTTCAATTTAATAAATTAAAGGTTAAAAATCCAATAAATTAATTCCGAACCGATGAAAGAGAAAGAGAGGAAGGGGAGAGAGTGAGAGATGAAAAAAAAAACATTTGCAAAGAGAGGGAAAGAAACCCACAAAACATTATAACGAACAACAAATGCGATAAAATGTACATCAATGAATCAACACCATCAACTTACAACATTCGAAATATGTACGGCCACCAAATATTGCTTTCTGCAGTCAATGCATGTGCCAAAATGAGATAGAGCAGATCAGTAATCGAGGTATCTGAATAATTCTTTTTTCGCACAACAACAATATAGTTTTATGAAATTTACACTGTAAATCTAGAAATGTTTGGGCGGTAGACCGCTTCATCATTTATTTAATTATATTTACAGATTTTTTTCCTCGCTTTTGTATTAAATGATCGGCTTATAGTTCAAACACATATACACAGAACGCTGAACAGTTTAATGTTATTTTACCATAACAATTTAATAAAAAGCATTCCTTTCCCGTTTGAATTTTCATTTCGACTCAATTGTTGGAGGGGTGGGCGATAAAAATTCCATTACAAAAATTGAGCAAGGTGTGTATAAAATGCCGTTTATCATCTCGAGCGGTCGAACCATTGAAATTGCGGCCCGTTGAATGCCATTGAAATGCAATCAATACGAAGAAAAATTGATTGAAACGCAATGAAAATTGAATATATTACCGACTAAATACTCATATCACATGATATTTAAAAAAAACGTTGTAAAAAAATGTATTGACACAGCGTTTTTATATTACGTTGAATTGGCATTTATTTTCCGAGGTATTAATTTTTCGCCTCTTTTACAAACGAAATTAATATTAAATTAACAAAAGCGAATGCAGAACGGGGTATTTTTTTTAAATTGTCATTGTTGATGCTCAAACCGGAAAAACGCTGAATAATTTTTCAATTGATGCAACATAAAATAGCAATGTGACGAACAATTATAAATTTAGTTTTTATTTTCAAATAAACAATGCATTCGTTTGGGCTTAAAATCCGAACTAATTAGTTTTTGTTTTCCGTTTAATCATTTTTTTGTGTTTTATTTTACCGCAGTAACACTTTTAATTCTTTTTTATTAAATGCATGCGTTTCGTGTATATTAAACTTTTTTTTATAGAATTTTAATATTTATTTTTCATATCAAACTTAAACGAATAAAAAAAAAATCAACAACGATCAAATCACAATTTTCCACTCAACACACTTGATACCGAAGGGAAAATAAATCAACAAAACAGAAAACAAAAAAACAACAACGGAAAAATTGAGTTTTTATTTAAAACACTAAAGAGCATTCGAGTGGCTCTCGGTTGAATGGTAAAATCACAAACACCCGATAATTTTTGAAAACAAAATGTGAACAAACGAAAATACGATATATATATTTTTTACCAAATAACGGCGAACGATGTTCAAATGATTTTAATTTCTTTTTGTGTTTTTTTCTCTCTATTCCTTCGTTTCGTTTGCGCTGCCTGCCGATAGTAAAACATGCAAAACAACTTTCTCAATAGCAATCCTCACACAGTGCGAGAGTGAAACTGTGTGTAGCGCGCACAATACGAACAGATCGAGAATGAACGAACGAGTGAGGGACAGTTGGAGTTGGAGCTAAAGGCTCACACACGGTTTTCGGTGCTGCTGTTCGAAAATGTGCTGCCTGCTTTGCGATTACGGTGTATGCGCGCCTGTATCAACTGAACACTATCGCCACGCGGAATGTATTTGAGCCGATGTGAACGGAAGAAAACAGAGCGAAATGAAGAGAGAGAGTGAAACAAAAAAGAAACGAATTGTGTGTGGTTTTTCTTTCATTCTTGTGTGCGGAAAAAACTAAATGCGCTCAAGTTGTCGACACACAGTGCGATACAGTGAACAAGCGAAAATAAAACGGTCTCTCTCGAAACGGCATATCGGCAACGACAACGGCAACAATAACAAGCAACCAAAGCCGCACCAACGAATCTATAACCGAAAGAAAAATTCAATTCATTTTCATATATGTGTTGTCTTCTTTTGACGATTTATTTATTTGATTTCATATTCGTTTTAGTTGTACGCGCTCGAATAATCGGCCAAGTGATTCAAAATGAATGCGATCGAAGTGAATAGAAAAAAACATCTTATTCGTTCACTCATATATAGTTTTGGTTGTTGATTGTGTGGCCCGACGACGCAAAAGTCTATGAAATTATTGGGAAAGTCACATAATACCGAATGAACAAAACGAAGCAAATCTCAAAATGAATCAACACCAACGAGGAGCATTACGAATCGACTCACGGCATATAAACTATAAAGAGAGAGAAGAGGATAGAGGACCTTTTTTCTGAATGGAACAGTGTAACGCGATTGAGCGTGATTGTGGTTGCCATTGTATTTGTAGGCATTGTCAGTCGTACTGTGTCACATTTACGATTGCTGCCGTTTCAATTAAAAAAAAAGAAGAACCGTTGTCGTGCATAGACCATGTTCATTTCGGATTTGTTCTCGTGTGTGCGCCAGTATGTATGCGTTTGTATGTATTTATTTGCAGTGTAGTAGTCGGCTAATATGCTTATGCCGATTTTCCGAAAAGAAATCCAATGTACACTGCTAACAGACACATCATTTTGCTTACTGTTCGGTGTTTAACAAGCCCCCCAGTCGGCACATATACAAATATTTTCCCATTGTGCGTCCAAAATGCACTACCGTTCTCTGGTTCGTCTTGTCCGTTTATTTTTCGGCCCATATGTATTTGTTTGCAAATGTGCATGTGAATCTTTTATCTCTTCAATGGAATCGGTTGTGTTTGTTTGTGCAACGATTTTCCCCACATTCAATTGAATATGTTGGTGTGTGCACGTTTATGTGGAAGCTGCTGCTGATGCTGCTGTTGCTTGCTATATTATAATGCTGCCGCATAAATGTCGATGCGTTTTATTTATAGTAACTACGTATATTTTATCGGAAGCAATACGCGATGACGACTACGACGACGACGACGTCAGACTCTTTCTCAGAATGTCCATCCCGGTGCATTTTCGTTTCGATTGTATTGGTGCGCGTGTGTACATGCATATGTGTAAATGTAATTTTCGGTGTTCGTGTATAATCTGCCGCATGAATTTTGCCGCATTTGTATTTGTGTGATTGCATCATGACTTTGGTGGATGTGTTGGATTCGTCGCTGTTGCAGTCCAAAAATGCATCCCATATTCCCGTACATATACCGATCACAAGCCGACGATGACGAAGGTGATAGCGCAATATAGCAACGAAATCACAACATGAATGACGAAATACATTCTTATTCAGCTTATAGCTCCTGCAAACCCTGATAAAATTACATTCAACCGCAGTAAGCGGATTCATCGAACATTACAAAATTATTATTATTATGAGATAATTTATAAGGATTAATGCGCAAAGTAATCTATCTATATATCCTCCTTCTCCTTCCTTCCTTCGCCCTCACTCCTCGCCTCATCAACTATGAAAATTATTATTATTGAGAAAATTTTGCATTCCAAGATTTACAAAACAATTTCGAAACAATGAATCGAAAACTTTCTCAATATTATTGCATCGAGCGGGCGAGAGAGCCATCGAGTTAGAGAACCTGTTTGAGATGTTTGATGATAAGTAGTGGTAATACCATTGTACCATTGAGATTCAAAGCTCATTGCATTTGACATAGCCTATTCAATAACGAATAACTCAATGTGACTGCTAATAATTAAATTAATTGACCTGCAAACAATTGACTCAAGTTTGTTAACATTTCATTAAATTTAATGCAAAGCAAAATCTGTTTCGCAAATTCTGTTAAACAAGGTACGAATGATATGTCGAGGTAATAATACAAATTACTCCATTCCATATATAGCAGCTATACATGCATTTGCACGATACGAGCGAAACATAAAAACAGAAAACCGACAAATAAAAAAATGTGGGATATTAAACTTTATTCAAATACATCTGCATTCCATGTGTAAATGCATACGTGGCACGCGATATTAACTCCCCGACAACTAAAGATGCAACTGATAAATCACACTGATAATGACATACCGTTTGACACATGCAATTAAAATTTTCTGCTTGCGGCGCTACCGATGAGCACAGAATGAAAAACAAAACGATATCTGCACCAAACACTGTGGAAATGTACATGTGTATATTCATTGCGTACTTTACTTTGTTTTCCACTGATTGTGATGAACAATTTTATTTCATTCATAAAAAAAAAAACACAAACGATATACAGCAGTGTATGGTGCACGCAACGAATGTAGTTCGCTTGGAAAATATGGAAAACTTTCGTAATAAATTGAATCGTTTATTTGAAGTGTCGAATGAAAGCAAACTATTCTAACATTCGATTGTGATCGATATGGAATAAAAACAAACGAATTGTTTATCCATTCCCAACTTCATTCATTCCTTTACGTTTCTTTCGTCCACTGGAATTGTTTACGCATCATTTTCTATCTTTTTCTCATGTGGTATATTACATCCGCTGGTCGGATGAAATGGCAATGGCACGACCATCGAACCACTTGATTGATGAATTTCCTATCATCAAAAATGGGAAAAATGGCAAACGAACGTTAGTGTAATTTCACATGGAAAATATGCAAATATTTGCCGATGCATCCCCATCACGTGCACGCATATCAAAGAACTTCAAAAAGTGCAATCAAATGAAAGTACACTTTCTGGAATAGTTAAAATTGTTACCATCATCAAAAGATACACTTTGGGAAGAAAGAAAGAAAATGTAATCGCATCATGACATCACAAAGCAAGCAGAAGTACACACAAAAGAGAAAAAAAAATCCAAAGAGATTATATCAATAATACCAGAACGCAGGATAAATAAAACTAACTCTATCCATCCATCGATGGATTTAATAGTTGATATGGAAAATCGCTATGTATATTTCACGTTAGCATATCACAACAGGAAGACAAAAGAGTAGGATTTTTCAATCATGAATGGGAATTATTTCAAAAAGGGATTTGCATTGAACAGATAGATGCTTGCCATAATTTAACATAATACAAAGTTACACACACACACGCGCGCGTGGAGAACGCGCCTTATTACTCATTCCGTGCATAGTTTGGCTTGCATTTCATCGAATCAAATGATGATACGTCAATAGAGAGTTTTGAGAGTGAACAGCACCGAATGACGGAAGAGACGATGCCAACAAGCCAACAACTACGACATCTAACTGATCGAGACTGAAAACTTAACAAAAGTGAATGTTTTCTCTTTTTTTCGATTCGTATTATTTTCTTCAGTTTTAGATTTGAACTTTTGTGTAATCACAAACGCGAATTTATCCAAAATTTACAACAAAGAGAGCACATCTTCAATGTGTTTAAATCCATTTCATGCACGACACACAACGGCAAGAGGATACACGAGAAAAATTAACAAGATGCAGACAGAGAGGGTGAAGGCAAGCAACACGAAAGAGAAAAAAAAATCCGATATAAAGTGCGGAGGATGGAGGGGAAAGAGCAAAAGTAAAATTCGCATTGTAATAGTTTCCTTTGTTTGAGTTGATGTTGATGTGTTTGATGTGATTGTTGTTGTTTGAATCCTTGTTTCGCGGGGCTGATGTCGTAGTTTTTTTTCTTTTTCCATTTTGTTTCCATTTCATTGGGAAAAGTTTTTAATTCTTTCAGCTCGTCTCTTTTTTATTCCTATTGTTTTGTATGTTTCTCTCTCTCTCTCTCTCTCTCTCTCTCTCTCTCTCTCTCTCTCTCTCTCTCTCTCTCTCTCTCTCTCTCT